TGCATTCTCATTTTGCATGTTCAGTTTTGAGCTATCCCATATTTACAGAAACTCAGTCATAATCAGTTAATTATATAATTCATGGGAGTAGCATAATATCGAGTTGGACTACGGTTCAGCGTACCCAATTAGTCCCAAAACTTTTAGCCAAGTAAGTTGTAACTCCCCTCTGTGGGCAATCAGTTTAGTGATCACGCCAGCATGTCTTAATACCTTTGGCAGGGTATATTGGGTCCTCTCGATGGGGTGTATACATTGGACTCCACATTTAGCTCATGTGGTTTTATTATCGGTTATTAGTAGCTCTCATAGTTCAGTCAGACTCTCTTGCATTGACCATTTATCAGTATACTCTGTATTCAATTTCAACATGTTATAAAATTGTCATTGCATTCAGTTAGCTCAGCTATTTAGTATATCCTATTCAAATTATTATACTTGATTTTGTGCTTGTTCAGTTATGTTTGGTTTCAGCTTTACTCTATCCTACATGCTCAGTACCTTCAAGTACTGACACATACGTACGCTACAGCTTTTCATGATGTAGGTTCAGGTTCTCAGTATCCAGATCACGCATAGATCAATATAAGATCTTCAGTTCAACAAATTTAGTGGTGAGTCCTCATTCTCCAAGGACAATAGTCATGAGTTTCTATACAGTATTTAGTATTTTAGTTTCAGATTTTGCTAGATTTAGCTGGGGCTTGTCCCAGTATTTCTAGTCCAGTTTAGAGGCTATTTTCAGACATAGTTAGTTTCAGCTTAGTATTGAGTTAATAATTTCTTTGTATCAAACTCATTGATTACATTTATCTCAGTTATAGAATATGGGTATTCCCCATATTTTCAGTTTAAAATTATGATTAAGATTCTGCAACAGTTTATATTCTTTAGTATGCTCATGATAATGCCAGCAGGGTTAGCTTGGAATTATTTGTGGTCCTAGGTTCCTTGTCCGTGTCTCAGGGGTAGCTCGGGGTGTGACCAAACTTGGTATCAAAACACTAGGTTTAAGAGTCCTAGGATGTCTGAAAAGCCGCACTAAGTAGAGTCATTTTCATGGGTGTGAAGTGCACCACATCTAATGAGAGGGAGGCTACAAAGTGTTTTTAGGAAAACTTCACTTTCTTGTTATTCTTATCATGTGTAAGCTATGATATGATTTCATTCTAACTCGACGTTGTGCGCTTAAGATCATGCCTTCTCGTAGAGCTTAAGCATGGAATGCTAATGCACGCAATGCTAATGCAGTTCCTCTAATACCATATAAGGAAGTTCTAATGTAGAGTTTTAGAACACCAATTCAGCTTTTGGCTTAGAGTATGACCAACCAGAACAATCAAAAAATTTGAGTTACTACTAATAGAATTGATCGATTAGTGGCAGCCAGAGTTTTTGATTTTGTTAGGATGAATCCACCTAAGTTTTTACGGTCACAAGTTGGGAAGGACCCATGAAGTTCATTGATGAGGTCAAGAAAATATTTGGTTTGATACAAGTAACTGGTAGTGATAGGTGAAATTGGCATCCTACCAGCTTAAGGATGCGACTCACATATGGTTGAATTTACTAAGTGGGAAGACAACAGAGATGACTTTGTCTTTTGCAACTCAATATAGCAGTCCAATTCAGTATTAGTCCAGAAACTCTCTCAGAACCTTTCTCAGTCTCTACTAAAGTCGGTGACTCGGTTATAGCTAGACGGATATACAGAAATTCCCTGTCTTACATTCCTATTATGCCTCAGTCTAGTTTCCAGACGAACAATCCTAGAATTGAAGATTAGTAGCTTATTGCCTATGGGTTGATTCATTTCTTACCTTAAGGCTAGAAAGATGATCTCTAAGGGTTATCGCTATCATCTAGTTAGGGTTAAGGATTCTAGCTCTGAAACCCCAACTCTTGCGTCAATTCCAAAAGTCTGTGAGTTTCTAGAAGTATTTCCAGAAGATCTTCACGGAGTCCTTCCCAAAAGGAAAATCGACTTTGGAATTGATCTCCTTCAAAATACCCAGCCTATTTCTTTTTCTCCTTACAGAATGGCTCTAGCAGAGCTTAAGAAATTGAAAGAGCAGTTGAAAGACCTTATAGATAAGGGCTTCATCAGACCTAGTATTTCCCCATGGGGTGCACTAGTGTTGTTCGTGAGGAAGAAAGATAGTTCTCTCAGAATGTGCATTGACTATAGACAGTTGAACAAGGTCATAATCAAGAATAAGTATCCTATCCCCAGGATTGATGACTTGTTTGACCAACTTTAGGGTGCTAGTCACTTCTCAAAGATAGACCTCCAATCGGGTTATCATCAGCTTAAGGTCAGAGATAGTGACATTCCGAAAACAGTCTTCAGAACTCGGTATGGTCAATACTAATTTGTAGTTATGTTAGTGACATTCCAAAAACAGTCTTCAGAACTCGGTATGGTCAATACTAATTTGTAGTTATGTCGTTTTGACTAACCAATGCTCCTCCAGCTTTTATCGATTTGAGGAAGAAATATGCGATTCATTTGAGAATTGTTTTACAGACTCTTAAGGATCGCCAGTTATTCGCTAAGTTTAGAAAATGTGAGTTCTGGTTGCAATCTGATGCTTTCCTTGGTCAGATTGTGTCTAGCGAAGGGATCGGAGTGGATTCACAGAAGATAGAAGTAGTGAAACGATGGCCTAGACCTACCTCTGCTACAGATATCAGAAGTTTCTTAGGCTTAGCGGAGTATTATCGATGGTCCGTGGAAGGATTTTCATCCATAGCCTCACCATTGACTAGGTTAACTCAAAAGATGGTCAAGTTTCAATGGTTAGATGATTGTGAGAAAAGCTTTGCAGAATTGAAAAATAGATTGACTACAGCTCATGTCTTGACTCTACAAGAGGATTCAGATGGTTATGTAATATATTGTGATGCATCTAGATTTGGCCTAGGTTGTGTGTTGATGAAGCGAGATAAGTTTATAGCGTATGCTTCTAGACAGCTTAAGGTGCATGAGAAAAACTATCAAACTCATGACCTCGAGCTTGCAGCAGTGGTGTTTGCACTCAAGATATGGAGACACTACTTATAAGGTGTTCATGTAGATGCGTTCACTGACCATAAGAGCCTTCAGTAGGTGTTCACCCAGAAAGAGTTGAATCTTCGCCAGAGGAGATGGCTTGAGTTCCTTAAGGATTATGATATGACTGTGCATTATCATCCTGGTAAGGAGAATGTAGTAGCAGATACTCTTAGTAGATTATCTATGGGTAGTGTAGACCATGTTTGAGGAAGAAAGGAAGGAGCTAGTGAAGGATGTTCACAGGCTTACTCATTTAGGAGTTCGCCTTATGAGCATATCAGATAGTGGTGTAATAGTTCAGAATGGGGCAGAACCTTCTTTGGTAGTGGAGGTTAAGGAAAAGCAAGGCAGTGATCCAATTTTGGTTGAACTTATAATGTAGTCCACAATCATAGAGTTTGACCTCTTCACCAAGAATTTAATACTTTTCCATCACATTCTTCAGTGTCGACTTATCCATGTATATCTGATCCACCATTATCTCCTTTTGCGATCTGTTCGTAATTATTAAATTATTTTCACCATCAAATGTATCTACTGTTTGATCGCCAAACGTTGGGACAATTGCTGATGTATCATTCACACCATTTAATTCTTGATTGAATTCAAGTTGCAAGACATCACCCTCAATAGAAGTTTCTCCAGAATCAGAATATACAATATCAATATCGAAAATACTAACACACAAGGGATATACTCCAATTTGAGTATTCATCTTTTTCAACTGAACATATACGCGCACACCCATGTCGTTACGTATCTCCATGGCGTGTCGTCACCTTCAATTGTGTATTTAATCTTTATACACTTTTTTGTAAGGTCGATGTTCAATTGTACCGAAATCACATTAACTAATCAGAATATGAAGCATATTCCTTCAACACTATCCCGTCAATGTTGTATTCTACATAACAATTCTCATTGCTCCATTTTCCATAATGCCTAATCAAAACACAAATAGTAGCCATGAATTTTTTTTTTTGTTTCAGTCGTGAAATAAAGAAAAAAGAATGAACATTTTTTTTATTTTAAACTGATCAGAAATCCTATAAGATATTGATAGAATGAACGTTTTTTATATTATAAATTAATCAAAATCCTATATAGTATTGGTCAGTTACAATTTTAAAGTACCAAATTAGTGGGTTTAAGGGCTGAAAATATCTATTCAGTTACAGTTTAGTTTGAATATATTTTTGTATTAAAAAAAAGTTTTTTGTATTTCAACTATTTTTTAACTAGAACAGTAGCTATTTTTTTAAATATGATAATTATAGTCATTTCAATCTAATAACGCTCAAACTATAATCATTTGTGTAAGTTTTACTTTATTTTATTTTTTTGTTTTGAAAACAAAAAAAAATTGAGGTATGTTCGTCAAAAATACTCAAAGTCCAAACCCATCTTCTGCTTGTGCTCTAAGACAGTGTTTCTAGCGGATGCACTTTCCTTGTCAGAAGTGTGGTAAAATCATCCAAGAATATTTATGGCTAGTACTAGTGGGTGCTTTGGATATGGTAAGATAGTTCATAAATTGAGGGGTTTCCCATCCACGGTAAGCAAGGTCAAGATGTTCATCAGCAGGCTCAGCTTAGAACTTTAGCAAGTCACCTGACTCAATATAGGTTACCTCTTCTAGCACTAGGGGCAGACTGCATGAGAATAGGTATTATGCTCGTTCCCCTGATATAGTCATTGATATGTTACGAGTCTTGTTAGATTTAGGAGTCACAATACTGTTCAAGATGGGTTGAAAATTTGAAATGAATCAACCGATTTCCTACACGACAATCATTTATTTTTTATTGATTTTCAACATATAAAGCACACGAAATTATAAAATGTACGAAACTGCATTTATGACTCTTGAAATTTTAAATGGGTAGAGGACTACACTTGAGACTTTTGACATGCAACTCCATATGACAAGAGAGAGATAACCTAATAGGTAAAAAGGGCCACTTGGGAGAATGGAGTTTACCATATCAAAAGAAATATCATGCGGGCATACATGAGTTGCAATACAACAAATTCATAGTTTCTTCATTTCAACATTAAGAGACCTTTAGTATCTAAAGTAAATAATTGAAGCTGAAATTCTATGAATAACAACTAGAGGCAAAGCCCCAAAATCTGAAATTTCAATTCATAATAGGCTCCGTTTGGGAACTTTAGGATCATGATCAAACTAAACTAATCGAGTTTAGTTGATGCATTTTCAAATGGAGGCAATCCCCAATCGGCTGGGCTGAAATCAAGTAAAGAATTCAAAACCTGATCAGCGACTTGGTGATACTGACTATCCAACCTTGCATCTGGAACCATAACCACTGACCTGCATGTAGTAACATAAAACCCAAGTCAGTAGATGATAGCACAAATAGAGCTTTACACATTCCTTTGACAACTATATATTTGTACCTTCACTTTTCTCATAAGAACATTAATGCAATGAACGGGGAATAAAGAGACCAAAATGCAACCAAGTGATCTTCTATATCAATGACAATGAGAATCTTAATGCCACTTCAGGACCCACTTGGCATACGTGTTACATCTACCAGAAGAAACCCTTATCAACAAACAGAACTTTGAGGATTTTTGTAGCTAAAGCATGTTATTAGCATTTAATCATGCCTCATAGGACTCAAAAAATGCAGAATTAATAGTAGCAAACAAATATGAGCAAGTTCAAAACTCATGAAAACTGCTAAATTCCAGACCTGAAGAAATTAAATTTAAGGAAAAAAACATAGCCTCATAGTACAAAGCAGGAAAACTATTAGCAAAACACAAGAAACCAGAGCAAACACCAAAAAGGAACCATGTTACAAGGACTCTAATGGTCACTACTAGCAGGAGATTTGGGTCTGCATATGTAAGAACCCAAACAAGGAATATTGTCTATCCATTACAGCCAAAAACTCGGTGCTTGTGTGGGTGTCATAGAAAATTCAGGGTCCCGGTGAAGTAGCAAATAGAGGCCAGTTGAGGATGGAATAATAGTACTATGTATCTTTAGATTATTGAATGATCCCGAAGAAGATTACAAAATCAGACAGAAAATTAAAATAGCAGGAAGCACTTGCTATGTTGATAGGTTCAAAGAGATTCATGAAAGTCAAGACAAAAACCCCAAAATAGGAGGAAGAAAAAAGCAAGATCCTGAATGAGTGCTCTGAATCCAAGTACCAGACCAAAATCATATTGCTTTCTCAATTACTAGATGTCATCTTCAAAAGATTAACAACCTACGAGTTAATCAACTACTTAGTGCCAAATTGTTGAGACATAAATCTAGAGGAAATATAAAAGGCAAACTACATTTACATGTTGAAACCATCAGTATAACCTTTTGCACAGGATGTCAAGTACATAAGACTGCTGACTGAGAGCAAATATTCATAGGAATAACTAAGACAAAAAAACATACAGTGAAAAAAACAAAATTAAGGATATACAGTTGAGCAAGCATTTAAGCAAAATATTCATAGGAATAACTAAGACAAAAAAACATACAGTGAAAAAAACAAAATTAAGGATATACAGTTGAGCAAGCATTTACAGGAAAGTACAAGGAGAGTTGGTATCTGAACTCCTTAAAATCATGGAAAGTAATCATGTAGTTCTCTCAAGTTATTCTACTAGAAGAAATCAAAAAGATATGACCCGACACATTAAAATTTTGGGAAATAGACTTACATTCCAGCATTCTTGGCTGCGAGGACACCAGAGGGTGCATCTTCAAATACAAGAATCCTCTGTGGATCTACTGTTCCACCCTGTCAATATTAAACATAAAGAATACAGCTCATAGGCATCCATGATATCTCATAATTGACTACCTATACTGACCATATTTCTACTTTTCCATTATCTGAAGGATCTCTATTCTAGTTTCACAAATTACACCTAACTTTCTCAGATTTGGTAACAAAATCGTGTTAACTCGCATTTTCTTCTGTAAAGGCTTGTACATTCAGAAAAAGTAGTCTCTCACTGTACAATTTTGAGAACAGATTTTGCCTTTCTGTAGTAAAACATCCTAGAAATTTTAGATGTTATATATTCTCCGCTTCATATCAAATGCCCACCTTCCAATTTTATTTTATCCCAAAATAGTGTCCTTTCTAAAAAGAGAACTTCTCAAACATACTTTACCATATAAAAATCACTTGGGACCCAGTTTTTCTCTTTTGAATACACTGTCTATCCCAAAAAGTTCCCATGTTGAGTTTTGAATAATCAAAATACATATTTTTCAAACATAACTTCAGATAAATTTTTATATACATAAGGATAGTGACAGTCCATGGAAGGAGGAAAAGACAAGCAATGCTCCCAGAAAAAGCTGGCAGCATCAAAGCTTGGGGTTGTTGAAATGATCAATGAAAGATTTCTTTTGGAATTTCCATCTGATATAGAAGTTGCCAGGGTTAAGATTGGTGAATGGAGATGGAAGAGACAGAAAATTAATCTAGTGAACCGGACTTCGCTGACATCAATGTCCAGAAAATATAAGTTGCGGTGATTCGAGATGGGCTAGGCTTAACAGTTTTCTGGCACAGCTCTGTGTGCCTTGATGCTGACATATACTTAATTAGGTTATATTGGGGAATGTCCCAATTTATATGACTCGCTTTCCTTTTTAGTCAGTCCCAAAAACGAATGACAAATTTCTATATTTAGTAACAATTAAACTTTAAAATGCCTACTTTACACTTCATGAAATGATTTATAGCCACACAATCATCTATTACTTATTTTAGACCACAAGTTTCAAAAGTCTTTATTTCTTTCTTAAGCTATGTATTAAGTCAAACTACACCCCATATTACAATATTGTGCAGCACCTTGATTAGTTTAAGTTAAAGATGGCAAGACAACTGTAGAACATGCAGAGGACAAGGGTTGGATTGATATGAGCGAGTCAGATTCATATATAACTTCCGGGATGGCAAAACAATGCAACATCCTAACAAAAATCATTGACTTTACTTTTTCATTTGGAAGATGACTAATGTGTTTGATCACTGCATCACCGTAAATAGCTCACAGAGAAAATTTTCTTTTTTTTTAAGAAAATAACATTATTTGAAGTTTCATATAAGAACCAAGCCAACTGAAACAGGCATATTTGAAAAGTCTAGTCGGTAAACTATCAGTTAGACCATACTAAGAGAGGTATATGTAATACAAGACTAACCAAGAGAAGGATAAGCATCATAGCTGCGAGATCTCTCAGGATATACACAATCTAGAGAAACAAAAATCATAAAATTACCTCAAATCTGTTCGCAGCTGCAAGGAATATATCAGGTGATGGCTTCCCTTGTTTAACTTCTGGATCATCGCCACGAACGATATGATGCATTAGTGAAAAAAGTTCACTGTGTCTTTGAGTTTTCAAATCAAAGTGCCGTGTGTGAGTACTGAAAAATGCATTTATATTAGTTCACTTTTTGAATCTTACTTCTGAAACATTATCTTAGCGTATGTTAATTTTTACACTTCTACTTGCTATACTAATTATGCCACAATGGTAAACTTTCTAGTAAACAAAACTAAAAGAAGATGACATACCCCGTAGCAACACAAATTGGTATCCCATTTTCATGAAGGTGATGAATCAAGCGGCTGGCCCCTATAACAGGAGAAAAACTTAAAACAAGCAAGAAATTCATGTATGCTAAAACAAATTTTGCATTAAATGAAATTAAAAGACTGAAATGAACAATATGTAGAATTTATATGCTAGTCTTCATACTTAATATCCACTCTACTTCAGAAACAAATGTTCTAAACTAAGGGTGTGTTTGGTATGGAAAAATGTTTTCTGGAAAACATTTTCCTATTTTCTTTTGTTTGGTTGCAACAAAATGTTGGGAAAACATTTTCCCAAACGACTTGTTTTCCTAAAATCAGCAGAAACGACTTCCGTAACAAATCTGCGGAAATCATTTTCTGAAAAAGAAGCCGACGCGCAACAAGCGAATTTCACCCCTCAGCATATCCCCTTGCCCACTCTCAAACGTAGTGAAGGAGGCTGTTTCTCTATTATTTCTCCAGCTTGTTCCTCTCCAAATTTAGGGTTTCCATTGTTGTTCTTCTCATTCATATTTGTGTAAGAAATTCGAAGGTATGCTTTCAATAATTATAGTTGTGCCATTTTTGAGCGAAGTTCTTCAAAATATTCATCTTTCACTTGCTTCTCTGCTGAAATACTTGCTCATGAGTTTGAATTTGACTTTATTTGGTGAATTTATGCATTTGATTCAATATTTTTTGGTAAATCTATGAATTGTGGCCTATTACTTTCGATTATTTCATACTTTTCTGGGATTTGACCCAAGTATGTTTGGTGTGTGTGTAATGTTATCTGTTCACAGATATGTAGATTTGAAATAGGATTTTAGATTTTAGTTTGTTGTTAAGAAATGGAAGATATGGAGGAGTGATGTTAGGGGTTTGAAACAGAGAAATGGTGTTGGGTCAGAAGGGTCTGATTGTTCATCAATGAACAATGATGCTTATACAGCTACTATTGCTGCTGTGGTTAGAGCTCCTCCTAAAGATTTTAAGGCTGTTAGGGAAGAATGGGCTGCAATTAGGATTCAAACTACCTTTCGTGGATTCTTTGTATTCCCTTCAGATTTCTTGTTTTTTTCCTTTATATTGGGTAATTTGGAGGAAAGACATTTCAATTCTCTGCTGGTTTTGATATTGATTTCCTCAAAATTGATCAGACGTTGCTATAAGCCTTGGCAGATTTTCTTATTATGTCCTTTTCTTTGTTATATCATAAACGCAATTACGTTATATTGGTCGTTGGAACAGATGGATATGACAAATAAAGATGAAGATGATGCAATAGTTGGAGCTGTAGCTACATCTGTTTTAGCTTTCGGAGTTGCAATTAATGTAGCCTGTAAAAATCAAAGTAGCATTTCTAGAGAACCTTATAGGAATAAAGATCAAGAAAGGGAATTTTACATGAATAGTATTTTGAATAGAAGTGATATTTATTGTATAGGACAAATAAGGATGAGCAAGCATGTGTTTTATGAACTATGCAATGCTCTTAGAAGAAACAATTTGTTGAGTTCAAGCAAACACATGTCTTTTCAAGAACAAGTATTAATATTTTTAGAGATTGTTGGTTTTTGAACGATTTCGCAAGATTGGATCACACTTCTATAGGTCAATTGAATCTTTTCATCGATGCTTTCACACGGTACTTCAAGCAGTTTTGAAGCTCTACCCTATCCTTATAAAACCACTAGATGGTACTATTCAACCGGAGATAAGGAACAACTTTCAATTTTATCCATGGTTTGCTGTAAGTGACATACTAAAATTTTAATCATTTTATGAAAAATAGTACATATTATTAACATAGTTGTATATAGAATTGTGTAGGAGCAATAGATGGCCTGATTTTGTGAACTGTATCTTGCTGTTTTTTTAACATTATTGTTGTTTACTTTACCATTGGCTATAGTAGCAGACATAGATTTCTTTGCATTATTGTTTGCTTCTGTTGTTGTCAAAGAGTCATTTGTTTTACCAGTTATGGGATTAGATTGGGAGTAATATGTTTTTGTAGTGTCAGTGTCTACTTCAAAGTTTTGACTTCCCTGTTGAATGTTTATTCTTTTCTGGTCGCTTTGTTGAAATTGATTTAAAAAATCATCCGAATATTGTGTTCATTGCTCTAAAAATTAGTTGTGATCATTTCCTTGTATGGATGTTAATCACCCTGCTCCCTACTTGTACATTATGTTGGAAGTACGAAAGTAAACTTTCTTATGAATGTTATATGAGTGACTGCCTATATTGTGATATTACTTTTCTCACATGAAAAAAGTTAATTTCTAGTTTAAAAGTGGCTGTTTGAATCAGATTTTTAAACAAAAGCCTCAACTTGGAGAGTGGGGGAGTCTTTCTTATGTTTGAATGTTTTCTGTAACAGTAAACAATGGGCAAAAAAGGAGAGAAGCAGTTTAGGTAGTCAGCCAATGGAATATTTGATGTTGGAGATCTTGGCGGATGAAGTGAAGCAGGGAAATAAATCAACCAATCAGTTTAAGGTTATCTCATTTAATTGTGTTTCGAATGCCATTAATGAACAATTAGGAATGGAATGTTCTCCAAAGCATGTGGAGAATCATCTCAAAACGCTAAGAAGCACATGGAATATAGTGCAAACTCTACTAAACAACAGTGGTCTTGGATGGGATGACAACTTGAAGATGATTACTGCCAGTCCCAGAGTGTATGCAATGCATATTGTTGTAATCAGTATTCACGTCGATTATGCAACTCTATGAATATTCAAGATATTCATGAAATATCTAAGATATTAATTTTGACTTGAACTCTGTTTTTTTGTTTGTGAGAAATTAAAGAGTTAAGGCTGTAGTTTTATAGGAAAAGAAGAAAAAAGAGAGGGGGTGGTTTTAGTTCTATATTTCGCCATTTCATGAAGTTTATGTTATAATTGTGTTATATGTTGATGTCTCTTGTTTAATACCATATTTTTGTCATTTATATTGCAGGCGCATCCTAGTCATGATAAGTTCATCAACAAGAAGATTTATATGTTTGAAGAAATGTCTCTTGTCTGTGGGAATGATCGAGCTAGGGTGATTGTGCTAAGTCATTTGAAGATATAGGCTTGGATTATAGTTCAGAGAAAGGTAATGAAGATGAGATTGAAGGACCATCTAAGGAGAATAGAGAGCAAGATGTGAGTGAAACTTCTCAAGTCAAGTCAAATCGTAAAAGAAATCGTCCTTCTGATGTGCAAGATGTGGTCGGTGATATTTCAACAAAACTTGGAGAAGTGGCAGCGGCAATAAGTAAGATAGCTGAAGCCGATTAGATGTGACAAGGTTGTATGAAGAAGTTATGGCAATTGAAGTTATGGGGAAGAGTTCTTAGGGGATGCTTTTGACTATTTGGTACAAAGTGATACTTTAGCTAGGGATTCATGGCTAAAAATCAAAATCTTCGTAAGGTTTGGTTGGAAAGGTTCAAGCGACTACATAAATAGAATATATAAGTGAATAGGAAGACCTCTATATAGTACTACTATTATTAGAGGACTTGATATCTTTTTGCTTGAATTTGATTTGTATGCTTGAGACAAAGTTGTTTTACATGTTTACAAATTGTTAGTTTATTGATTTAATGGTGTTATTGAACTAAGTATTCACAAGTATAATATTATGATATGTCTGTACAACTTACTGTTTGATATGTGTGTAGTGTAGATGAGCGATTGTGCACAATAATGTGAAAAACTTCAAGGCTCACTGTATAGTATAGTGTTAGCTAAAAGCATGTACTAATGTATGGTACGCTGTTTTCAAGTTATTTTTTGATTAAAACGACAGTTCGATACATAAAATATCTTATATTCATTGCAAAATTAGAGATCTTATTTTAAAGGATTAGTATTTGATAGTTTGTGTAGAAATAATAGAAAAATATCAAGATCTAGTTGGAAGGGGGTTGGTGGTGAAAGAGGATAGAAAATTATTTTCCTAAAAAAATTCCTCACTCACCAACCAAACACTAGAAAATGTTTTCCACTCACTAACCAAACATAAGAAAACAAGTTAGAAGTCAACTTGTTTTCCTAAATAACATTTTATAGGGAAACAATTTCCATGAAAAACATTTTCCTTCATACCAAACACACCCTAAAATTACTGGATGCAAGAACTTGAAAACATATTATTCAAGAAGTTGTTGGATAGAATTCACATGTAAAGAGAATAAGGAAGAAGATTAATGATCATGTTGTAATTCTTGCAAGAGATTGTCAAGTTGATAGGTAACCCATCTTGGATAATTATGTTATCAAGTTCTGTGCATCTGGTAATGTAAGTATAGAACAGTTGTTTCTAAGGTAGAGTGGATATTAAGTATGAAAATTAGCATATACATGCTACATATTGACTTGTTCATTTCAATCTTTATGCATAGTGAACTCTCAAATGGTGAAACTATTGCAACGAGTTAAAAAGATGCAGAATACACATAATGAAAAGTCAAACTAATCATTTACCAATGCAATGGTAGGAGCAAAAAGAAACCTCTGAAAATCATTTCTCATGTTCGCAGAAAAAGGTTTTCCAACTCTGAAGTGTATACCACAAGAGGGTACTGAAGGTGTTTTCCTCGATATCTAGGAAATTATATGGTCCAAAATCACTTTAAAATGAGTTTTTCTTTTCTCAAGTTTCAAGGTTTTAACTTTTTTTTATCACAACTCTGTTGAGGCTAGCTTGCAGTACACCTTAACTAAAATTCCTTTGGTAACTATTATCTCCCACTTGCACAGGTGCCTGATAACTCTACCGACCAAAACATAGACAAATTGGAAGTTTCAACAAGGGTTGCCTCCGATGAGATATAAATATTAATTGATCACGGCTGTTACTTTGGCTCTCAACAGCTAGGCCATCCCCAGGGACAGTCTCAAGGCTTTAATATGAAAAATATAGCATAAATGTTATGGAGGAACCTTTTATTATGCATCTAGAGAAGTAGAGATTATGTGTCCCTGGTTGTACTTTGGGTGAAGAAAGAAAACTGAGCTATTTCCATCAAGTAAAGAAAAGCCTCTCAAAAACTTTAAAAATCAAACCAGTTAAGTTATCCTCTATTGGTAGTTCTTTGTAAAATGTGTATAAGCTAGGCCCTATTAGCAGGAAAAGATGGAGATAAAGAGTAAGGATTGAAACCCCATTAGCAGCTTGTGTATGTTCATTCAATATGGGTATCTCATCGTTAATAACTGGTACTTCCTCAGCAAAATTTGGAATGTTGAAGGATAAGATATTGCTTCAACAGAGATTCATGAAAACATATCCACCACCTTCACCGCTCTTTCTTTTTTCATAAATAGGAAGTATAGAATCCAACTTGAATATTGAAAAGATTACCAGATATAACAGAAAATGTTCCAGCTGTCCCTGCATGTCTATTTAAGACTATCCAGAATTAAATTCAACATCTACTGGATCAATTATACTTCACCCGGGCTTTTTGCACAAGTTATAAAGGTAAAAGTATATGTGGGAATTGAATGCTCCAATACGGAAAATAATAGGTAAAAAGTAGTATGATTGATCACAATTTTTTCTGGCCCTAAAATTCATCATACAACCATAAAAATTGATATTGTGGAGAAACTGATGTCTTACTTCATAATTTTGAGGAAACAATAGCCTGACAAAGGGCTCAGTCCTATTTGGATGCCTATATGGGAGGTAAATGCATAATATTTATATATATGTATATTATTTTAACGTTACAATGTCTATCCGTGTATATAATATGAAAATCAGAACTCTCTTTTAAAGGGAAATCACATATAGTACAGACTACAGTTCCGTCTTCAGTCAAGAAGGTTATATAGGATGTGAAAAAATCGATTTGAATATTTGATCAAGATCCACAAATTTTTGCCATTTAAGATAAATAGTCAATTCCATAAGTTTTACATGTTCAAATGTCTGCTCCTCTTATGAACAGAACTGAGGAAGGGTGAGAAAGCTGAAACTTGAAAAATGAATAAACAAAAATATCCTCTCTTGTGCTTATTAAAATTGTACCTGGCATGAGGTCGCTTGTGGGGAACATTTTCTGCAACATCTCCTCTCTCTCTACAAGAAAATCTTCGGCTGTAAGTGAATCGCTTATTCCTGTCTCTTCAACAAAGACCCTGGCAGCCTCTATTGCCTTCTTCCCCATCATCTTTGCCTTGAGTGACCAATCAAAAGTCTTATTATACCTAGCAAGTATAATCTCCTGGACCTCCGTATAGAATTTCTCGGTGTCTGATAACAAAAGAAGAAGCCAGTCAACCAACATTTGTCTTCAAGTAGCATCTATTTGACCACACAAAGATTCACTTGTTTCTTTCCAATAGAATATAACAAACGGGAAAGGCCTGGTATATATGAATCTGCCCTTTGATCCCTTATGTTAACAATCTACCCTCACACCTTCTTACGGTTACTTATTTGCTTCCATCCTTAGAAGTTCTTTTATTTTCAGACTGCAGTGTCTTAATATATCAGGTGATGGGATAAGTACATATCAAATAATGTCTGCTATGGTCAAACCACATAGGTATACACAAAAAGGCATAAAAGATGTGGCTGTATGAATTTTGTGGTTCTTTAAGTTAGATAACTTGGGTAGCAATAGGAAATCCAAATAAGAGAACACCTTAAGTAAAAAAGAAAATGATGTCACACAAAATTCAAATGGACCAGTCCATGGATCAATTCCTAATCTTTCAGATCCCCTATAATAAATCAACATCGGATCTTGCTGTTGCTTTGAGAGAACAAGGGAACTAGATATCTTTTCTTTTTGGTTGATAAAGAGTGAACTAGATTAGTGAGCACAACAAACTGTCTTAGGTATAAGAGTTGATTGTAGTTTTGTACATCTCCAGAAAGAAGAATTCGTGAAAGATGACATAGTGCACAGTGGAAGGAACTTTCCCGACTGTCCTATTGCTAATTTATCCTCTCCAGACACACACCAGTATAAGGTTTTCACTGACTAAAAATCATAACCACGTACAGGCAGTAAGTAATATATAATCTACAAAAAGAATGCAATTCTCTGCTACGATGATATGCTTTAGAACCACCAATCCTACATAATTTATTGATTTCTCCAATTAGGAGAATATATAGTCAAAGAACTTATATTGTTTACAGAACAAGGTCAAGAACGGAATTCTCTGCTATAATGACATGTTTCGAGAACCACCAAGTCTCTGTAATTTACTCTTAATTCCGCTTGTTTAGGGAAAAAGATAATAAAAAATGCACTGTGTTTTCTTTGACAGGTGAAAAATGTCTTAGTTTTTGAGCATTTTATGCGCTAGATATGTGATGTCACATCAGAAAGACAGAGACATACAAACGTGTCCACGTGATTGAGGAATACACTTATCATAGCCTCTCCACTGGAATGTGGAGTGGCATAGTCTATCTATAAAGAAAAGCATAACAGAATACATTAAAATTTAAAAGAGATGGTCTAATCGTCACAGCCCACAGGGACTCACTTAAAGTGACCAGAATTATGGATTTGTTCACCTATCAACTATAATTGACAACTTTTAGCATCACTAGCAAAGGCTACTTCAAAATCCAAATCAGATACTACCTTCAAGCAGTGACTCAGTATTTTTCTTTTGGGCACTGCTATTTCACCCTTCAAAAATGATTTTCTAAATTTTGAAAATGTCGTTGAATAATTACTTCAGTGGCCGTCTGAAGTCCCCACCCTATCTTTACAGATCCTAAAGTATTCTAACTCTTCAATTTCAATCAATAGTCCATTAGCATACTCATTCCTCTCCTCCGAAAAACAACAAGGACAGAACACATCACACTCAAACTTTGATTTTGACTCCCAATTATCAAATTAACAACATCCAAAGAACAATTTTAGCAAACGATTGCATACCAAGTTTACATCAATCATTCAGAAACTCTACTCACGAGCACATTACGCATTGGATTCTCAGTTCATTCAGATTTTCGAAATAAAATTAAAGCAAAGATAGAGAGTAGGAGAGCAAAATGCAAGTGAGATCTTATACATATTGATACCTAGAAGAAGTCCATCCATGTCAAAGATTACATGAGTGATTGAGCCTTTTCTTGCAGATGAAGTATCAATGCCTTGATTCGCCATATTTGAACAAAGCTTCTCCTCGCGATCTGAAAGAGTAATTTTGGGTTTAATCGAGATTTAGCGCCTTTTCCTTTTTCTTTAATTCTTTATTTTGTTTTTCCCCTACATGATAAATTGAAATATTAAAAAGTGAAAATTTAGAAAAAAGAGTTAAACTTGTTTAATTTTTTAACTACATTATATTCTCATAAGTTTTTTTTAAATATTATAATTGACTATAATTTATTAATTAATTTTTCCTTTGGAATTGGCAGTATATAATATTTTCGCAAGGCAAGAATAAATATACATAAATTATTGACTTATTATACGTTATATAATTATACAAATATTTTAATTTTAAGAATCTTTTTTATAGAATCAGTTGCTACGTAACTATTAAATTTAAAAGTGTTTTAAAATAAAATTAAAATTTCACTTATTTTGGATATGAAATTATATCATTTTTATACTTGTGTAGTATTTCATAATATTTTTGTAGTAGCATGTGACTCTTAAGAAAAAGTCAAGATTCAAGTAGCATTAGATTAAACTTGGCGAAATATCTCACTCATATCACAATATTGGATATAGTTAAGTTCAGTTAATCAAGTAAAATATATTTTTAAACATCGTTAATAATTGAGAAAATCAGAAATAGAAACTAAATTAACAATTCACTTAAATATTTTATACGTAAGTCTTCTGTGATCATTTTATGAGTATAGTCGCCTGCTTTGAAGGCAATAATTGATCGTAAAAAATTGATAATGAAGAGTCATAGCATCAAGTCCACACAAATATTTGATTGCTTCAATAAATTTCCCCATTTTTCTTTTATTCATACTGTTTTTATTTTTATTTTTTAAATTCCTGTTTTAATAGTTAAAAATATATATGGTAAAAGTAATGGAAATAAAATGGGAAGATAATGACACCAAGAATTTAGGTGAAAATTATTCTAAATAAAAAAAATCACGAGCCAAGAGGAGCAACTTATATCATTATAGTAAGAATTTTACACATTATAATCACGAATACAATACTCAAAGTGACTTCTACACACTCAAAAAGAACAGCACTGTTTTGGTTTCCACTTTAATAAAATATCGCTCACACTTTATTTTTCTTCACAAACTATTTTTCTTGTATAGTCTATGGAATACCTCACTCTGCTCTCAAAATGATTTTTCTCTCTAATTTGATGTGTTCTACAAATGAGCAAGAATGTTCTATTTATAGAACTATAAAACATGCTTATGGCACTAATGACATAGGTAAATATAGCAAAATCAAAAATGGTTGCAAATCTTACCAATTTGTCAATCACTAAATCTTTTATTTTCAACTCCAATTACTATTCTTTTTTAACAATTGCTTGTAGCAATTGAATAGCTAAAGTTGACTGAAAAATGAATGGATTCAACAAATCTCCCCCTCCAATCTCATTTACTGGAAGAAGGTATCTTCATCTTCTTTAGAAAGAGCCCATACCCACAAGTTCTTTGCATAACTCGAACTTGTCTTTCGGTATCGTCTTGGTCAGCATATCTACAGGATTTTCACTTGTGTGATTCTTTTTGACGTGAAATGATTCACTCTCCACTTTCTCACGAATCCAATAATATTTGAAGTCGATGTGTTTTGTTGTTGCATGGTTCATGGAGTTCTTGCTCAAGTCTATTGCACTCTGGTTGTCACAATAGATAATATACTCCATTTGATTCAAACCAAGCTCTTGAAGAAATCGCTTTAACCATATCATCTCCTTGCTGGCTTCAGTACCCGCAATATACTCAGCTTCAATTGTAGATAGTGCAACACACTTCTACAACTTTGATTGTCATGATATAGCTCCCCCTGAAAAAGTAAACAAATATCCAGTAGTAGATTTTCTCTTATCAAGGTCGCCTGCCATATCAGAATCTGTATAGCCTTTCAAGATTGAATTTGATGCTCCAAAACACAAGCATTCATCTGAGCTTCCTCTAAGATACCTGAGTATCCACTTCACAGCTTCCCAATGCTCTTTTTTTCTGGATTGTTGAGAAATCTACTGACAACGCCAACTGCATGAGCAATATCAGGTCTAGTGCACACCATTACATATATTAGACTTTCGACGACGGAGGAATATGAAACTTTGGCCATGTTCTCTTTTTTCCTCCCTAGCTGTAGGACACATTTGCTCAACTTCATATGACCAGCAAGAGGTGTATTGACAGGCTTAGCACTCTTCATATTGAAGTGCTCCAGTACACGTTCAATGTACTTCTTCTGGGATAAATAAATCTTCCTTTCATCTCTGAGACGAGTAATTCTCATGCCCAAAATTTATTTGGCATGACCCAAGTCTTTCATAAAAAAAGACTTAAATAACTCTTTTTTCAGTTCGTCAATCTTGGAAGTATTCTTGCTCACAATCAATATATCATTCACATACAGCAAGAGGATGATAAAATCATTGTTAGAAAATTTTTGTACTAATACACAATAATCTAAAGAAGTCTTCTTATAGCCTTGCTCCCCCATAACAGATTCAAACTTCTTGTACCACTGTCTAGGAGCTTACTTTAGGCCATATAGACTCTTTCTGAGTTTGTACACAAAATTTTCTTTACCATCTACTTTGAAGCCCTCCGGTTGGTCCATATAAATCTCTTCTTCTAGGTCATCGTGAAGGAAAGTCGTCTTCACATCCATCTGCTCAATCTCTAAATTAAGACTAGCAGCCAAACCTAGAACTGTGCAAATCGAGGACATTTTCACAACAAGAGAAAATATTTCGTCAAAGTCAATACCATTTCTTTGACTAAATCCCTTAACAACCAATCTAGCTTTGTACCTGGCTTCAAGTTGTGTTCTTCAACTTTAACTTTGAACACCTACTTGTTCTTCAAAGCTCTCATGCCCTTAGGCAATTTTACCAACTGGTTTTCATGCAGAGACTTCACCTCATCTTGCATGGCTTCAATCCATTGATCCTTGTGCTCATCTTCCATGGCCTCCTCATAACATTCAGGTTCTCCCCCGTCAATGAGTAACACATACTTATTGGGTGAATAACGGGAGGAAGGAAACCGTTGTCTTGTGGACCTCTGAAGCGGAATATTTGATTCGTCCACAACTTCATGAGCAACAGGATCATCAATAACAATATCATTGTTATTATCAACATCAACATGTTGATTTGATACATGATTCTGAGCTTCATCATGATTATCAAACCCCACCACATCATGCACATTTGTGTGAGGAACTTCATTTTGATGAACTATACCATCAAAATTTGAAGATTCTAGGTTTTCTGCTTTGTCAATATCTTCAATTGTTTGATTCTCCATGAAAATAATATCACGGCTTCTCACAAGTTTCTTTTCAATTGGATCATATAGCCTGTAACCGAATTCTTCAAGGTCATATCCAATGAAGATGCATTGTCTTGTCTTGGCATCTAACTTTGACCTCTCATATTTTGGCACATGTACAAAAGTTCTGCAATCAAACACTCTGAAATGGTCATAGGAAACATCCTTTTCGTATCAAACACTATTTGGTACATCACTTTGCAAAGCAACAGCTGGAGATAGATTAATAACATGTGCATCGGTCAATAAAGCCTCACCCCAAAATGAGTTCGGCAACTTTGCTTTAGAAAGCAAACATCTAACTCTTTCCATCAATGTCCTGTTCATTCTCTTAGCCAAACAATTAAACTGAGGAGTCTTGGGAGGAGTCTTCTAGTGTCTAATACCTTGATGCTTGCAGTATTCGTCAAATGGTCCATAATATTCACCACCATTATCAGTAAGAATACATTTCAATTTCTTTCCAGCTTCTCTTTCAACTGAAGCCTGGAACTGCTTGAAGACACTTAACACTTGGTCTTTAATCTTCAAGACATAGACCCAAAGTTTTCTCGAGCAATCATCAATGAAAGTGACAAAGTAGAGTGCACCACCCAATGTATTTGTCTTCATTGGACCACATAAATCAGAGTGCACCAACTCAAGCAAATTTGTCTTTCTTGAAGGAGGGTAGAAGTTAAAGAAAACTCGATTTTGTTACCAATCAAGCATTGATCACACTTTTCTAATTTAGCACTTTTGAAATTTGACAAAAAAAATTTCTTGGCTAGAACATTAAGTCCTTTCTCGCTGATGTGGCTAAGTATCTTGTACCATAATGTTGAGGAGTTATTGCTCTCAACCGCATTCACCATATCAACAGAAGCAGATGTTGTAGTCTAGTATAGACTACGACGTCTGTTATCACGAGCCACAACTAAGGAACCCTTAATGAGCTTCCATTTTCTATCATTGTTAGTACTAAAATATCCTTCATAATCTAAAACACCTACATAACTTAAGTGTAGACGAACATAAGGAGCATGTTCCACATTGTTCAAAACTAATTTAGTTCCAACATTAGTTTCCAAACAAATTGTACCAATACCAACCACTCTAGAAATAGTCTCATTACCCATACCCAAGGTTCCAAAATTACTAGGAGTATAGCAAGAGAAAAATCTTTCCTTGATGTCACATGAGATGCGGCACCAGTGCCCACAACGTGGCTTGACTCATCACAAGCAATATTTATCATATCCACATCAAGGACAGTAACAAGATCTTTGGTGGCGATGGTGGCTAGGCAATTTTCATTGTCATCTTCCTTAGTTTCCTCTTTATTTTTGTTCTTCCTCTTCAACATCCTGCAGAACTTCTTTGTGTGCCCTTTCATGCCACAATGATAGAATTCAATATCCTTAAGTATGCCTCTGGATTTTCTCCTATTTTGTTCTCTATACTGAGAACCACGAGTTTTCTTTCTCCCCTGGGGCCAGTTATCAGGACATCCGACGAAGAAGAACTTTGAGTTTTTCTTCTCATCTCTTCATTCAAGGCACTATTCTTGGCGGAATTCATAGAGATTACACCATCCGAAGCATAATTTGACAATGAAGTTCTAAATGTTTCCCAAGAGTCTAGTGGGGAACCAAGTAGAAGCAAGCCTTGAATTTCTTCATCAAATTTGATGCCCAGAGCAAATAATTGGTTCATGTTCCCCTGAAAATTATTCAGATGGTCTGTCATCGCAGAACCATCA